CCCCCCCCCCCGTGGCTCCCCAGGCTCCTCCTCAGTCATCAGTAACGACGATGACTCTGCCAGCCCTCTTCATCACGTCTCCAATGGCAACAACACCCCCTCGTCCCCGGAGATGGGTCCAGACGCAGTGATCATCGGGATGACAAAGATTCCTGTCATCGAGAATCCGCAGTACTTCCGTAACTCGGGCAGCATGCTGAAATCCGACACCTGTGAGTTACCAACGCCGGGTAACCTGCTCCTTTTCTGATAAATCCATGCAGGGATCGCTATTTTTAATGCCGGCGTCCTTTCGCCCTGTGATACCGACTCCAGCCCTAAAGGACGAGCGGACAGAGGACGATCAGCAGAGCAAACTCAGACACATATTTGACTCATTCACCATGATGAAACTCTCTCAGAAGGGGATTTCCTTCTTGAACTTTGGCTCTAGGCTTTTTGTTTATGTAATCAATCGCCTTTTATTCCAGGATGACCTAATCAAATGAAAATATTATTCAATCGAATGCCCCCATACCAGTATAACTAACTCATTGGCTGCCAAGGACTTCTATAGACGTCTTTTATGTTTTTCAACGAGAGTGGCTGGGGGACGATCTGCTAAAGCTTGTCCGTAAATATCAGGCTTCTAGACAGAGTATGTAGTAACAAATTGACCCTCTAGGTGGCAGTGCCACTTTTGATGGGAGATGAGCATAGACTGTAGGCAAATAAGAAAAAGGTAACGGTTCGGTATGAGAGAACATGTCGCCGGTGAGACGCACGTCGAGGAAGAACGGAATAAGGTAGAAACACATTTTTTTTCCTGATGAAAGAAGAGAGTCTACTCTTTCTTTTGGTGTGTTCGGTGTTTACATAGTCATAGCACAAACTATTCTGTGGTTCTTGAAAAATCTGTCAAAATTTCTCAAAAAACTCTGGCAGTCAATGAGTTAACATTCACTCCAAATGTAGCCACCCCTTCTGTAGTCCTTCTACCTCTACCTCTATCTCACCACTGACTCTGATCAGTGTTTCTCCTCTGTATAGCTCATTGTCATCGTGATGATAGATGTAAAATTGTGTCTACTCTGTAAGTCGCTTTGGATAAAAGCGTCTGTCAAATGCATAAACATAAACATAAATGATCCGGTCAAAGGATCGATGTGCGTCGACTGGGAGTGATCCGGCCTCTCTGCCTTACAGTTGTGCAGCACATCAAGAGGCACAACATCGTGCTGAAGCGGGAGCTGGGAGAAGGCGCTTTCGGGAAGGTGTTCCTGGCCGAGTGCTACAACCTGGTCCCGGACCACGAGAAGATCCACGTGGCAGTCAAGGTGGATCAATCGGCCGGGGAATCCCATCGATCAGAGTCCCGTTCCGGTAGATAAGGCCTGTGTCTTTTGTGTCTCTGTGTGTCTGTGGTCAGACCCTGAAAGAGGCCAGCGAGAGCGGCCGCGCCGACTTCTACCGTGAGGCGGAGCTTCTCACCAACCTGCAGCACGAGCACATCGTCACCTTCTACGGCGTGTGTGTGGAGAGCGACCCGCTCATCATGGTGTTCGAGTACATGAAGCACGGCGACCTGAACAAGTTCCTCAGGTGGGATCTTTTTTAACCGAGCCGACAGGCGTCGGAGGAGCTTGATTTCCATGAAAGGAGACATATTATACCCTATTTCAACAAGTTAAACTAGTTCCCTGGTGTCCTGATGTAATGTCTGTGACAAGCTTTGGTCAAAATCCCATAAGGATGAAGCCCAATAGCAGTTCAGTCCCCCTGCCAAAACAGCCCCGTTCAGAGCGCTCGCTTTGGAGTGCCTGTCTCTTTAAATGCAAATGAGACACAGGCAATCCACCCACTTCTTCCGGGAGGTGTGCCCACGTCGGCACGCTAACGCTACCATGCTAACGCTACCATGCTAACGCTACCATGCTAACGCTACCATGCTAACGCTACCATGCTAACGCTACCATGCTAACGCTCACGCTACCAGGACGTCTCCACAGATAGGCGGAGTAAGCTGAGTGGGGGGGGCAACATGCAGGTGAAAGGCTGGAATATTATAATGAGCTAGAGCTAATGACGTCAGAAACTACCCACTCCTGAAACCTCCTGATTTATCTCCTGGATTCAGACTGAGGCAGCCCACAAAAACATGACCGAGTCATTTTTTTTCACACTTTGCCTGCTGATAGGCCCTCCACAGTCCCAAATGTACACAATCAAATGATTAAAAACTTGGTTTTGCATAATATGTCCCTTTTAAAAAAAAAAGGTTACCTCTTCAGCAGTGGTTTATATTTGATTAGTCAGACTGTAGCCCCTCACAGCCACGACCTTTGACCTGCTTTGAGGTGATGTTCCTCCTGAGTGAGAAGGCCTGTTGATATCAGTGCTGGATATGTGACGGACAAAGCATCCAAAACTGGTCTGCAGCCTTTGTTCAAAAGTCATCAAAGGTCCAGAGGCTAATTTAATTTGAATGAAGTGTAAATGTTTTAAAAAGAAAAAAAGAAATCCCCCTCTTCTGTTTTTGAGGACGTTTAGGTCCAATTAGAGTATTTGAACAATACTAAAAGGCCGAAAACAATTAGATTAACTCTCTAACAGTAATGTGTGGGAATCCCTTTTAGCTCCTCACTCGAAACAAGTGTTTTGGTAAAATCTAATTGTGTTTTTTCCTGAAAAACTCCTTTTTGGACTTGTTTGTTTACAACAAGGCTTCAGAAGGATGTTTAGTCCCTTGTGAGTTGTAATTTCTTCCTGTCACTTGTATGCTTAGGACTTCACAAGACGCCATTTTGCCTCGTAATTAAGGCTAGAATCCGACATCTTACGCATTCGAACCATTTGGCAGAGCTGGGTTTTTTTTATTATGTTTTCACCACATGAATCATTTCTATTTGAGCTCTCTGGGGGTAACACGTTGTGCATTTTCCCTCTAAAGTAAGCAACGTTTTTTTGCAGGTCCCACGGCCCGGACGCGGTTCTGATGGCAGACGGTCAGCACAGCATCCTGGTGGAGCTCACCCAGTCCCAGATGCTGCACATTGCCCAACAGATTGCTGCTGGCATGGTCTACCTGGCCTCCCAGCACTTTGTCCACAGGGACCTGGCAACCAGGAACTGCCTGGTCGGAGAAAACCTGCTGGTCAAGATAGGCGACTTCGGCATGTCCAGAGATGTTTACAGCACAGATTACTACACGGTGAGCATTTTACACGACTTTACACACTCAGAATCGCCACAAATGTGAGTTTTTAATCCTGTTTTTATGCTCTAAAATTATTTTGCAGGTATGGAAATGCGTATTCTAAACAGGAATATTTGATCTATGTTAAAACGATCTGAAAGGAAATGCTATAATCTCCATAAAGTTACGGTTTCCATAATAATGGGAGCTAAAAGTGAGGAAAAAAGAGGATATTTCTTTCCATCATTTGACGTGATTGCCATCATTTTTTAGGAACAGTTCACATGAGGGGAGAGCAGTGGCTAAAACAAAAACAATAACCTTTACAGACGCACATCAGTGTCCCAGTTTGAGCCCCACAGCGCCCCCTGCTGGACACACAAACCCAAACACACTCAAGCTCAGGCAGAGAAGAATCTCTCTCTCTGTGGTAATGTGAGATCACTTAAACCAAGACACCAACTTCTGCTGTGGAGCTTCCTTTAAAAAAAAAAGCAAGCCCAAAGCACTCAGTGAGAGGCTCTCCACTCGTGTTTCAGTTTACGAATGTGGTTACCCAGCAAATTAGATCAGTTAGATCGTCTTCAAGCTCACATTTAGACCTTATTACCCCAGAATTCTAAATTTTGTTCAGCATCATTGATCTGCCAGTGAGAAAGTCCATTAAGGGATGGAGTGTTTGGAAGGCCCAGGTGGAAAATATCAGAGTGCACAACCGGCCAAACGTTGTTTAGATGAAACAGAGGAGTTTCAATAAGGAGAAACGAGTCTCTGTGCTATCAGAAACGCACAAGTCAGAGTAGAGACATTTTAATCAATAGAGTGTAAAATAATTTCTAGAGTGTTAACAGTCCTTTTCTTTGTTGTTACGTTTAAAAAAATGAAAATAATTTCAAATTGGATGCATTCAAATGTCAGGATGGGAGAACAATTTTCTTTTATTCATTATTTTTTAATGATCTGGAATATGAGGCAATGAATTTTTACAGTTTTTTTACAGGCCTTGTTACATCCCGGGATTCATCCCGGTTGGATCATCTGTTTGTGAACGGGCGGCTTCATATCAATTCAATTTCAATTCAATTTTATTTCTATAGCTCCACATCACAACAGCAGTTATCTCCCATCTTTCCAAACAGAGCAGCTCAGACCAGACTCTGAAGTTATTTACAGAAGAACAACAATTCCCACCAAGAGAAAGAAAACCCAAACACACTCAGGCAGAAAATCTTCTTTTTCTTTGTGGTTATGTGAGATCAGTTAAACCAAGACACCAAGGAACTAAAAGTGGGGAAAAAATAAGTTCCCCTATTTCCCTCATTTGACGTGAGTGGCATCATTTTTAAGAACACTTTACGTGAGGGGATAGCAGCTCATATGTGGCTAAAACAAAACGATAACCTTTACAGACGCTCCACAGCGCCCCCTGCTGGACACACCCAAACACACTCAAGCACAGGCAGGAAATTATGTTTCTTTCTGTGGTAATGTGAGATCTCTTCAACCAGTGGAGCTTCCTGATAGATAGATAGATAGATAGATAGATAGATAGATAGATAGATAGATAGATAGATAGATAGATAGATAGATAGATAGATAGATAGATAGATAGATAGATAGATAGATAGATA